TGTAATAAATGTAGAAATGAAAGTTTCACGGGTTTTTAATAGCTGAACGACCAAGATCCCATCTGGCCAATACAGTGTCCTTCGTCATCAAATGTTGCCAGCGTGAGTTTGCTCAACTTGGTGCTCAGAGCTGCATGGTTTGCACTGTAAGGGGGCGCAGCTGCACCTCCAGGAGGATTGTGATTGTCTGCAAAAAACCCATCTGGCTTGGCGTGATTCCAAAGTTGTTGTTAAGCTCACCATTATCGCTGTTGCTCTGACTTTCGCACATTTTGTTGTCCACTTCGTCATTGGACTTTGATACCACTTGGGACACATACGAGKTGATGAGCGTGTCCTTTGGCCTTCCAGTTCATCAAGCGGTCTTCGTTCTTCTTCCTGGAATGCCTTTAAACTTTAAATTGACTAAAGTTCAAGTAAAACCWAAAAGTATTCGTTGTCGTTCGGCTTCCGCCTGCAAGTCTTCCTCTTCCTTGACTTTGTCCAGTTCGCGTTGCTTCATCATGGTCAGAAACTTGCTTTGCAGCTCCCTGCGGGTCGCGATTTTGTACTTCTAATCTTCTTCGGCGGCCTCTTCCAGTCCAGCACCTCTTCATCGTTGAGCGGCTGGATGGGACAGTCCACTCGGGCCATTATTTGCTCGGTCACGTCCTTGATCGAAATTTTTCTCCAACCGGAACAAAAGGTATTCTGGATTGCATCCTCCTCACAACGCGGCGATTCATATATTCAAAGTTCTAGAGGCTCTTAGAATATTGAAAGCTGTTTCATCGCGTGAAACGCTTTAAATTCATGCGCTCGAGTTGTAGCTGTTTGTCCGTTGAAAGTTCCTGTGGTTCTTTGCCGGTTGGACGATGCGAATTTTTTAAGCAGAAAGCGCTGTTAAAGCGTGCAAAAAATCAGACTTTTCGCAAATTTTTATGAACTTTCAGCGAATTTCCAGTCAAGTATCCGCTAAGGATTATGAAAATCTCAAAGTGCTACTTGCGGTGGTTTGAAAGATTCGGCTTTCTAAAAGAAASACCGCAKTTGAGTAGAGTTATCCATTAATAAACCGATATTTACCAATTTCGTAAAAATCGCAAGTTTCGCTTGATTTTGTCGARAATTTCAGCACCTGRCGARCCCAGTGTCTGCTAAAAATCGTGAAAATGTCCAATTGCTAGTTGTTTTCATTTGAGTTGCAATYTTTKAAGGGTGGAACSCAGTCCTGTAAAAAGTTTCATTCTGAAACTGATATTTGCCAAGCTRTAGTAAATCTAGCATCCAGTTAATATTTATAAAACTTTCACCCTTATTAAATCCATGCGTCTTCTACAGATGGAGCAAATTGCAAAGTCACAAATGCTTTAGTTTCGAGCACTGGCATTGTATTGTATTGTATGCATCTGTATTTACCCAGCTGGACAAAAATCAGGACTGAAGATTTTTATAAAACTCTCAGCGTATTTAAAGTCAAAAGTTTTCAAAAGATTTAGCGAATATCGCATTGTGACTGTCAGTTGAAAGACCCGACTGTTTTAAGGAGGCAACCTATTCAAGTCGAACATCAAAAAAAATGCCAAAAAAAACAAGATATTTGGTKATTTTTATGCAACTTTCAGCGTCTTTTAGAGTCAWYTGTCTTCAAACCATTGTGAGACTTCGAAATCGCTTCTTGCCCTGGTTTGGAAGATCCGAAGTTTTCTTTACGGAGAGAACGCAGTCGAGTCGAAACTGCCATTAATAGACCCGATATTTATCAAATTAGAAAAAATCGCGACTTTGGGCAACTTACATGAAAATAGTAGGCCGTCCCTCGCGTCAAGTGTCTTCTAAAGGTTGTCAAAATTTCAAATTTCCACTTGCGCGAGTTCCGAAAATCCTATTTTTTTTGGGAGGGAATGCAGTTCAGTCGCTACTTCCAAAATTAAGCGAATTTTTACCGAGCTGACAAAAATCAGGATTTTTGGCGATTTTTATGAAACTTCCCATGTCTTTCGAGTCAAATATTTTCTAAAGAATATCGAAATTTCAAATTTC